CGCGGGTACAGCTGGCTCTGCCTCTAGATAGGCAGAGCCAGCTGTCAATCCTGCAGCTGGGTGGATCTCGACAGTAAAGTCGGGATCCATCCCGGCTGCGGCGTCTCAGTATACCGGGAGCTGTGGCTCGCGGTATACTGAGCTTTGGGTGGCGGGAGGACGCTAGTTTCCTCTTTAAAGCAAAAACTAGCTCTAGGGCCCCGTGCTCCTGCCCAGAAATGAATTGGACGTTAGTATTTTCTTGCTGTGCTTAGAGTGGCTGGGAAGTAGTAACAGCTACTTTTATTTCCCTCTGTCAGTTGGCTCTGATACTTCAGTACTTTACATACCTACGTTTTCGACATACTCTGTTGCTGGATCGATATGCTGCGATTTTTACGAATAATTTAAATTCAGTAAAATTACGGGATTTATTGGAGGCAGTCAAAATCTACTCCATGCTGAATCATCTTCCAGAAGACAAGACGCAGCAGTAAGTCTTATTTTTGCATGCTTCATTTATAAGAGAATTTTGTGTAACTCCCCTTTTAAAAAATACTAACTGTTCTTCTGTTCATTTTAAGGTTTCTGGAGGCTGTGAACACATCACTAGAGGCACACCTCGATAGTATTCCACCTAGAAATCTTCTCTTTACTGTGTTCAACTTGTGTATTCTAGGAGTATATCCTGACTTTGCAATAAACAAGCTCCTGCAGTATAAAAACATTCTCAGTAAGTTGCCTGTTTCCTCTGGATTGCTACAGTGCTCATGAATTAAAACATTGGGTGTCTTTTTCTAGAATTTGCCTTTCTATGTTTTCATTGTAAGTCTTACAAGATGAGGGAAGGTTATAGGTACAATAGAGACTATGAGACCCGTACATCAAAGGGAATCCAGAAACTGTCACAAATCTAAAGAGACAGCACAACAGGAGCAGCCTAACTTGGGGCTGGATTTGGTTGACTGAAACCTCAGCCATCCCATAAGGGGTGAACCATTTATGTGTATGTGCAAATTTAGCTTGAGCTGTTGCGGTCTGTTAGCAGCAGGCTTTTTACAGCAAGAAGTAGAGATAGATGAGAACTTTTGAAAACAAGAACCAAGAGCCTCTAGTGAAGGAGAGACAGGAATATTTATAAACACTTAAATTTAAACCTTCAAGTAAATTAAAAGTATACATCAGTCACTTACTGTCTGTACAAATAAGCACACCTCAGTAGCCCCACACATCCGTGCAGCATTCAAAGTCAGTATTTACGTAATGTGTATGCATCCACTTCTGGGACTGCACTGTAACTGGTCATGAAAGGGTTTATTGGGATCCTTTCCTTTAACCCCTTCGTGACGGGAGACGTACAGTGTACGTCCCGTCACAAAGTGGCTATATGACTGGCCACGTACACTGTACGTGCCGAGTTATATTAGCCTCTGTAATGCTGGTAACTGCTGATTCTCAGCAGTTCCAGTCATTAATTAATGCCTCACTATTGAGACATTCATTAATGAAATAGTTAAGCTTTTTTAAAAGCTTCTTTCTTTCATGAATGAAAGAATGAAGCCTTTACATTCAGATACGGGTTCGCTAAATAGCGATCCCGTATCTGACAGCTGAAGATAGCAGAGAGGTAGCAGTGACTCACCTCTCTGCTATTCGTTTTGACAGCTGGAGAGCCTGGCCCGATGTTAAATGATACATTTCAACCACTAGATACAAAATGTATCTCTTGAGTGAAATGTATCAGTTTTGATCGTCTAGGAACGATCAAAGACCTTTAGTGAGATCTGATTCTGACATGCTGTCAGGATCAGTCTCTAAAGTTATTATTAGCTGTTCCTAAGCTTGGAGCAGCCTGATAATAACTAAAAATTTTAAAAAGTTAATTTATTAAGCAGTCATAGTGATTGCTTGATATAAACTGACAAAAAAAAATTTTTTTTTTTTTACACTTATTTTTTTTACAAAGTGTAAAAAAAAAAAAAAAAGTGTACAAAAAATTAGGAAAATAAAACGTTTATATATAAATATATTTGTATACTATAATTATTATTAAAAAAATTCTAAAAATAATAATAATAATCAAAACTTGCTGCTGTGGAAGAATCACACAGCAAAAATGTAAAAAGTGTGTCAGTCATTTAGGAACAGAAACTAAAAACTAGCTCAGTCATGAAGGGTTTAAAACATGTATGTTTTTTGTTTTTCAGCTCACAAAGAACACCCCATTCTTGCGCACATTAACGTGTGTTTGATGATAGATGGGTCCTTTTTAAACCGCCAGTCATTGCTCGGCATGAAGAAAATTCCCGCTACAACTTGTGAAGACATTCGAAATTTTCACATTGAGATGGAAAACTTTATTAATGATCCTGACTTGTACTATCACAGCGTGAAGATAGCCAACACCTACTACATAGGTATGAGCCGGTGGCACTTGCGTTCCTTTTACAGCATTAAGGGTCTATTGACACCTATTCAGTTTTTTATGTGTTTTCCTTTGAAGTTATTATCATAAGACGCACATCAATGCATGTCACCTAGACAAAAACTTAACCCTTGCAGTGTGGGTAGCCGCACTGCAGGGGTTAATTATAATTTTTCCTGGAGTTGTTATTTAAACAAAGTTCCATTGGGATTTTAGATTAATAAATAGCAAGACTTTGCACCCCTTTTCATTTGTTGCACCTGGAATGTATTTAGCTGATTTAAGCTGTAAGTGTTTTTTAGTTTTAAGATTATTACCTGTGGAAAAAAAAAAAGCTTCAAATCATCAGGACAATAAATAAAAGCGCTTATATTTATTAAGGTGATATCT